GAAAAGCTGTTAATAATCCAGAGAAATTAGCTACTACTGTACTTTCATTTATGATCAAAAGTCTTTATGGTGGTCCTGAATTTTTAGCAAGAGTTTTACCAGTTACTAATCTAACATCAGATCTCCAACTAGATCAATGCAAGTTAATTGTAGACACCATAGAAAGTTCTATATGTAATGGCAAAGTAGTTGCAATTATTACTGATGATAATAAAGTTAATCAAAGCTTTTTTTCTAAATTCAAAACAGTAGATGGAAAACCTTGGTTATGTCAAAATGGAACTTATATTTTATATAACTATGTCCATCTTTTAAAGTGCATTAGAAATAATTGGCTGACAGAAAAGTTAGGTCAGTTGCAGTTTATTTATAATGAAATATCTTACATTGCAAATTGGAGAGATTTAGTTAACTTATATACACTTGAAAAAAACCAATTACATTTATTGCAGAATTCTACGAATTTTCTATTTCAAAGAAACAATGCCAAATACTGGCAAACATTTTTTTAAAGAACCTTGCATTACTTCACACTCCTAAAAATAATAAAGAAACTAAACTCAAAGAAATTAAGTTTATGTAAACGTTTTTTTTTTCCTATTTAGTACAAAGTTTTTATTTTTTTATATTACTTATTATATCTTATATTACTTATTATATCTTTTTATATTACTTATTATATTTTTTATATTACTTATTATACTTTTTATATTACTTTTTATATTAATTATTATATTTTATATTACTTATTATATCTTTTTAATTGAAAATCTCAATTGAAAATGTTTTTATTTAACTTTATTTTTAAAAGTTATTAATTAACCTCAATAAATTATTTTTGCAATAAGAAATTAAGATTTTTTTCAAACAGACTGTGAACTATTTGTATGTGTTAAATTTTAGCAAAGCTATATAACTTTTACCGGTCCGCCATTTTTTTTTTTATCGGCCTTCAGTCAAAAAATTTCCCGCACGGTGTCGAGGCCCTCTAATAAAGAAAGCCTTGGATAGTTGGTACAAGATAAAAATTCCAACTAATTCGCATACTTCTGCACCATCATAAGCACCCATAGTTACATCAAATAATTCTACGTTTTTTTTAATCCAAGAATCGCCATTGATAAAGATTAAAGATTTTCTCGCGTGCATAATAAATTTCCTATCTTCTTGATTTATAACTAGGTGCTGACCAGCAAACTCTATGTAATATAAAAAATATAATAAGTAATATAAAAAGATATAATAAGTAATATAAGATATAATAAGTAATATAAAAAAATAAAAACTTTGTACTAAATAGGAAAAAAAAAACGTTTACATAAACTTAATTTCTTTGAGTTTAGTTTCTTTATTATTTTTAGGAGTGTGAAGTAATGCAAGGTTCTTTAAAAAAATGTTTGCCAGTATTTGGCATTGTTTCTTTGAAATAGAAAATTCGTAGAATTCTGCAATAAATGTAATTGGTTTTTTTCAAGTGTATATAAGTTAACTAAATCTCTCCAATTTGCAATGTAAGATATTTCATTATAAATAAACTGCAACTGACCTAACTTTTCTGTCAGCCAATTATTTCTAATGCACTTTAAAAGATGGACATAGTTATATAAAATATAAGTTCCATTTTGACATAACCAAGGTTTTCCATCTACTGTTTTGAATTTAGAAAAAAAGCTTTGATTAACTTTATTATCATCAGTAATAATTGCAACTACTTTGCCATTACATATAGAACTTTCTATGGTGTCTACAATTAACTTGCATTGATCTAGTTGGAGATCTGATGTTAGATTAGTAACTGGTAAAACTCTTGCTAAAAATTCAGGACCACCATAAAGACTTTTGATCATAAATGAAAGTACAGTAGTAGCTAATTTCTCTGGATTATTAACAGCTTTTCCAAAAATATTTCCACTTTGATATAATTAAGCAGCTTTGACATAAACTTCATCTATCAATAAAACACAATTTCTTTTTTTTTCTCAAGGTTTAATAGCACAGAACTTAAAAAAACCAAATCGTCTTGAGAATTTATTTTTGAAGTTATACGAGTTAAAGTTCGAATACTTGGCAACTGATAATCACAACACAATTGATTGTAAGTGGAACGACTTGTTGCAAAATATTCAAAAGCCCTGGTTATTATATCAGGTGAATATACAGTTAAGCCAACAGAATGATCTCCCATTACATTTAGATGCTGAAATAATACTTGGGTTTTATGATCCTCATTTTTAACTTTTAGATATCTAAGAGCTTTATTTAAAGCTGACTTTGTATTAAATGAAGTTATTCTATTTTTCGAAAGAGTTTTAACATTACATTTTGAACTATATCATGTATATCTATGCAAGTAACTATATCATTTTCAGTAGATAAGTATTTTTCAATACCTTCAAACTTTAAATTATCAATTATTCTATAATCTTTTAATTCATCTTTTTCGATACCTCTTTTTGAAGAAGATAAAGTTTTTCTCATTTTTGGTCGTGGAGAGGATAGACAACATTTAGATATATTTGGAAACACTGATGGAGGATTAATTGGTCTTAATTTACTACGATACAAAGTAAACTCGCAATTAATGCAATTTACAAACAACGCTATATTTTGTTAAAGCCCAGTGTGAGCGAGGAATACTCATAAACCACTTTTTTTTTCAGATATATCACGAGGAAATTTGTATACAGATATTTTACAATCTGAAGACTTATAATTTGAGTAACAATTTGGTACGCAGCATTTTAAAGGCATCATAAATTATTTATTTAAATTTCTTTGAAAGCAGCTACAGCTTTTACAACTTTAAACAGATTTTTTAAAATCGGCCTTCAGTCAAAAAAATTTCCCGCACGGTGTCGAGGCCTTCTAATAAAGAAGGCCTTGATATATATATATATATAAATATATATATATATATATATATATATATATATATATATATATATATATATATATATATATATATATATATATATATATATATATATATTTATATGTATATTTATTGAAAATATATATTTTATATTTATATAATATAAAATTAGTATAGTTAAATATACTAACATACATAATAAAACCAATTAATCAAACTCTAAAAAAAAACTTACTTGAAAAACTGTAAAAAAAAATTCAAGCAAAGTTTACTTGTAATCAATCAATCAATTAATCAATCAATATATTTCCACTTTATAACTGCATATATATATATACATATATATACATATATATACATATATATATATATATATATATATATATATATATATATATATATATATAATATATATATATATATATATATATATATATATATATATATATATATATAATAGTGAGGGACAATTACAAACAGTTAAAGACTGATGATGCGTAAAGACCTACGATAATATAAAACAATTATTGTAAAATTATAACAATAATAAATATAACTATATAGTAATGATAATAGATAACATAAAAGGCTATCATAACAAAGTAGTAAATTAAATTAATAATTAATAGTCTTCTAATAAAGAAGGCCTTGCAACTATCTCAATATTACAACGGGAAGGAATTAGGTTTATACTGGGATGACGGTCTAGCTATATTTAAAAATCGTAGTGGCCAACAAATGAAAAAAATAAAGACGCATTTTGTTAAAATTTTTAAAAGCAATGGTCTCCATTTATCTATCAGCTGTAATGTAAAAATTGTCAATTACCTCGACTTAACACTAAATCTTAAGAACAGTACCTTCCAACTTTACTCAAAGCCCGATAACACTCTGAATTATATTCACGCCGACTCTAACCACCCTCCGCGCATATTAAAAAGTCTACTGCGAACAATTGAACTAAGATTGTCTACTGCATCTTGAAACAAAAATTTTTTTGAAAAAGCTATTTCTCCTTATCAGGATGCATTAATTAAATCGGGTTTCTCATCCACGCTCAAATATCCGTCAGATATAGTTCCCACTAAAAACAAAAATCACAAACGAAACATTATTTGGTATAATCCCCCGTATAGTATTAATGTTGCAACAAAAATTGGTAATTTTTTTTTTAAATAATTGATGCAAGCTTTCCTGTTAGTCATTTATTACACAAGATTTTTAACAGAAACACCATTAAAATTAGCTACTCGTGTATGCCGAACGTTAAATCAGTCATTAATTCGCATAATCAAAATATTTTATACAATCATGAAATAACAACAACAAAAACTTGCAACTGCATCAATAAATCTCCCTGCGTTATGAACAACTAGTGTCTAAGTAAGAACATTGTGTATCAAGCTACTGTTTCATCCAATAAACCAGATTACACAGATAAAGTTTATATAAAGTATTATTGAGACCCCTTTCAAGTTAAGGTATGCAAACCATTTAAAATCTTTTAATTTATATAAGTACAGCAATGATACGGAATTATCTAAAGAAATTTGGAAACTTAAAGAAGAAAACTTTTCGCTTGTTACTAAATGGAAAATTATCAAGCGCTGCCGAACATATAATCCTTCGTCCAAAATCTTTGTCTTAATGAAAAGTATTTTATTTTAACGCATACAGGGGGAAACCTGTTGAACAAAAGGAACGAGTTGGTTTCAAATTGTAGGCATAAAAATAAATTCCTACTTTCGTTTTATGATGCTGGCGATTAGCTGATTTATATAAGATTTTCTTTGACGTTTTCTTTTTTTGTCTCTATAGAGACGTCAGATGTCGCTCCACTGTACTTTGTAATTTTATTAACGGTTTGTTAAATAAAATTACAAAGCACAGTGGAGGAAAAATAACTTTATCTTATTTTTTTTTTTGATAATAAAAAATTGATAATGAAATGTTGGATAATGAAATGCTTTTAGAGCACCAAACTTACCATACCTATTTCTTTAAGGGGCACATTCATGCTATCCTCGCCCTCCCAGCCAAAAGGGCAGGAGTAGCAGTTGCTTCCCTAGGCTACCCAGTTTCCGGCGTGCCAGCTACAAATTTTCAGTCTCAATAAATATAATCGATATAAAACTATAAAATAAAAAAGATAATTATACAAATTTAAATACATTAAAAATAATTCCTCTAGTTCGCAAACATAGATCAGATTAACAAAAACCATAGATAAGAAATTAAACACACATAAAATAAAAAAGCGAACATTAAAAATATTCTAAAGTTAACAAATATTCAGTTCATTCTTCTAACAAACTAATTTAAATACGGATTTGGTTAATTATTGACAAAAAAAATAATCTTCCTTGAAACCATGTCGCTAAACTTAAAAATGATGCCGGCTTCAAGTTGACTGGCGTTAAACGTTAAGAAGTTAGCTAAAATGATGGCGTTGTGTTTGAGTGGGAGTTGATTTCTATGTTGACATTATAGGTTAAGTGGTTAAGTAGTTGTTGTAAATATCGTAGTTACCGGAGTAGGATAAGTAGTAGAAGTTGATTATAAAAGAAATAATAGAGATTGCCTTGTAGATGTAGACTTCGAAGTTACTGTTGAAGGTTAAGAAGTAGTAAGTTTCCAAAACATTGTTGTAGGTGTAGTTGTTGTAAGTTGTGAAGTAGTTTTAAGTAGTTAGTTAAAGCTTTGAAGTTGTTGTTGCAGGTTGAGTAGTAGTTGTTGGCTTTGTTGATGTTGAAGGTTGAATAATAAAAGTTGGCTTTGAAATTATTATTGCAGCCTGAGTTGTAGTTGTTGGCTTTGAAGTTGGTGTTGTAAGTTGAGTTTTTGTTGTTGGCTTTGAGGTTGTTGTTGTAGGTTGAGTTGTAGTTGTTGGCTTAAAAGTTGTTGTTGTAGGTTGAGTTGTAGTTGTTGGCTTTGAAGTTGTTGTAGATTGAGTTGTAGTTGTTGTAGGTTTTGAAGTGATTGCTGTAGGTTGAGTTGTAGTTAATGGCTTTAAAGTCGTTGTTGTAAGCTGAGTTGTAGTTATTGGTTTTGAAGTTGTTGTTGTAGGTTGAGTAGTAGTAGTTGGTTTTGAAGTTGTTGTTGTAGGTTGAGTTGTAGTTGTTAGCTTTGAAGTTGTTGTTGTAGGTTGAGTTGTAGTTGTTGGCTTCAAAGTTGTTGTTGTAGGTTGAGTAGTAGAAGTTGGTTTTGAAGTTAATGTTGTAGGTTGAGACGTAGTTGTTGGCTTTGAAGTTGTTGTTGCAGGTTGAGTAGTGGTAGTTGGTTTTAAAGTTGTTGTTGTAGGTTGAGTTGCAGTTGTTGGCTTTGAAGTTGTTGTTGTAGGTTGAGTAGTGGTAGCTTGCTTTGAAGTTGTTGTTGTAGGTTGAGATATAGTTGTTGGTTTTGAAGTTGATGTTGTAGGTTGAACTGTAGTTGTTGGCTTTGTTGTTGTTATAGGTTGAGTTGTAGTTGTTGGTTTTGAAGTTGTTGTTGTAGGTTGGGTTGTAGTTGTTGGTTTTGAAGTTGTTGTTGTAGGTTGAGTTGTTGTTGTTGGCTTTGAAGCTGTTGTTGTAGGTTGAGTTGTAGTTGTTGGCTTTGAAGTTGTTGTTGTAGGTTGAGTAAAAGTAGTTGGCTTTAAAGTTGTTGTTGTAGGTTGAGTAGTAGTTGTTGGCTTTAAAGTTGTTGTTGTAGATTGAGTTGCAGTTGTTGGCTTTGTTGTTGTTGTAGGTTGAGTTGTAGTTGTTGGTTTTGAAGTTGTTGTTGTAGGTTGAGTAGAAGTAGTTGGTTTTGAAGTGGTTGCTGTAGGTTGAGTTGTAGTTGTCGTAGGTTTTGAAGTGGTTGTTGTAGGTTGAGTTGTAGTTGTTGGCTTTGAAGTTGTTGTTGCAGGTTGAATAGTAGTTGTTGGCTTTGAAGTTGTTGTTGTAGGTTGAATAGTAGTTGTTGGTTTCGAAGTTGTTGTTGTAGGTTGAGTTGTAGGCTTTGAAGTTGTTGTTGTAGGTTGAGTTGTAGTGGTTGGCTTTGAAGTTGTTGTTGTAGGTTGAGTAGTAGTAGTTGGTTTTGAAGTTATTGTTGTAGGTTGAACTGTAGTTGTTGGCTTTGAAGTTGTTGTCGTAGGTTGAGTTGTAGTTGTTGTAGGTTTTGAAGTGGTTGCTGTAGGTTGAGTTGTAGTTGTTGGCTTTAAAGTTGTTGTTGTAGGTTGAGTTGTAGTTGTTGTAGGTTTTGAAGTTGTTGTCGTAGGTTGAGTTGTAGTGGTTGGCTTTGAAGTTGTTGTTGTAGGTTGAGTAGTAGTAGTTGGTTTTGAAGTTGTTGTTGTAGGTTGAGTAGTAGTTATTGGCTTTGAAGTTGTTGTTGTAGGTTGAATAGTAGTTGTTGGCTTTGAAGTTGTTGTTGAAGGTTGAGTTGTAGTTGCTGGCTTTGAAGTTGTTGTTGTAGGTTGAGTTGTAGTTGTTGGTTTTGAAGTTGTTGTTGTAGGTTGAGTTGTAGTTGTTGGTTTTGAAGTTGTTGTTGTAGGTTGAGTAGAAGTAGTTGGTTTTGAAGTTGTTGTTGTTGGTTGATTTGTAGTTGTTGGCTTTAAAGTTGTTGTAGGTTGAGTTGTAGTTGTTGTAGGTTGTGAAGTGGTTGCTGTAGGTTGA